TAGTCAAGAACATTTTTGTTTACATATACACCTCATATTCCCTTTTTGTGCTCATTTATCCTCTACATGGATTCAGAGGTTGAACACACGCACAGAAAAAGGATGTTGAGCAGAAGCTGTGATTTCCATCTGTCTTTTTATTAGGATTTTACAGTGAGAAGACACGAGAAGTTTTCCACCATATTTTTAAAAGGTCATTCCAGTCTTTAAAGTGTATAATCTATTTTCTTTCCAGTAAAAGTGTTTGTCTCCATACTATTTATAAACAGGTATTTTGCCAGCTAAAAACCAAACAAATGAACAAACCAGAAAATACAAAAGGCTTACTAAATCAGACACCCTTGACAATTAATGTGAACTTGAAAAGTAAATTACAACTAATCAGGTGACAGCAGATGATAATGTTAGAGCAGCTCAGGCAGCCCAGTAACTGCCACAAGGACAGATAAAAAAATGTCTTATAAACTAAAGAATATTTCCAAGGGTAAATAATAATAAAAACTCTGTTACAGTGTTTTCTTTTAGTGCTTAGAAGAAATATTCCACCCCTCACTTCAGGAACCACAAAGAGGACAAAGAAATCACATTGCTCTCCCAGGCTGTACTGTACTTGTCAAAGGTATTGGAAAAGCAGGCTCCTGTGCCTGACTCAGCTCCTTCTTGCCACAGCCTCCCATCCTTGCAGTGTGACAGATGCATTTTCTTTGGGAGTTCTGCTGGTCCTGCTCCCTGGCACAGGGAGAAATGCACTGTCAGATCTCCATTGCTTAGCAACACGAGGAGCCGCTGCAGGAGCTTCCTACACTGCTGCGGCACCGGGCAGTCACCTCAGCAACTTTCCCCCGTGTCACCGGGGTGCATCAGTGGCACTGGCAGCAAAAGGCTGAGGCTAGACATGCTCAATGATGTGGTACAAACCAAGTAGTCCACTGGTATATCAAGGAATATTCAACACATGAACTTCCCCACCTGAATCCTTGAGTTATTCCCTCAGACATATCTCGCTCACCAATGACACTTAAAATGCCAGACAAAAAATTCCTCATAAAAGAGAGGACAGATTTATTTGGTCAAGCTTTAAGGAAGAGATAAGGCACTGCATTGCAGCCTTGGGGCTCTACCATGTACCACAAATGCAATCACAATGTGACTTCACTGACAATTCTCTCTTCCCCCTCAGAAGACAGGATCCCAAGAGAGAGCTGGCAGGCAGCTCAGGTTAAATTGACTGTTTGCATGGCATGTGAGGTGAGAGAACAGGAGAGACATGAAAGCACTATCAATGCAGCTCTAGTGTGACAAAATACAAAATAATGACTTCATTAAATCTTTGGGCATGAGAATAGGCATGTGTATATGCAAGCATCCATAAATTCTAAACTTTTAAAACTTTTTATCACTATTAAAATCTTTCCACACCCTTCAAAACACATCTAGACATATAACTGTCTATGGATTATGTGCATTACCAGATCATCTTCATATAAAGCAGCTCATCTCTGACAGAATACATCCAAATGCAAGGTTTAGACATGCACTGCTAGTAATATGGGAAGTTTTCAATTTTGCAAGAATTGTATCAGTACTTGACATGCACTTATTACTGGACAAACTGCACATCTTCACTTTATTTTTAGATAATTAAAATTAGCAAAACAAACCAAAAACCAAGCTCAAAACAACATAAAAAACACCACAAATGTCAGAACTCTCATTTCAGAAAGCATCAGGTTAGATGACAGCCCACAATCTCTAGTTTTGGTGAGGACAGTGCTCCAAATTGCCCAAGTATTGTCTATTTTCTTTATATTGTTCCTTACAGTAGTTCAGGTTCTCAAATAAGCATATTTTAGAAAAACACAGATTGAAGACTGATGCAAACTAACTAGTACTAACTACTCAATTTAACTCACAATAAAGTATCCTTACAGCTTATGCTATGGTAATTAGTTCATATTATACTGGATACAAACACATACAGTTTAAAACTCTGAAGCATATCAGGACTGAATAATTTTGTTTGTGTTTTCAGGAGATGTTCATCTACATCAAACAGAGACAAATCATCTGCAAACATCATGTTTCAGGTGGTTACTCTCATCCTCAAAAGCAAATCCAATCAGATTTCATTACAGGGAGAGAATCCAACAATACCATCAACTACTCTGGTTCATGCTAAACTCAGAAAACCTCTTGAAGCAAGCTCAGTGTTTGCTGTGCTTGCTCACTGTCTTACATGCATCACTTTCATAATCAGCCTCTTTACCCTTTGTGTTCTAATGAGAACTTGACCACAATCCCACACAAACCCCCTCTGCAACAAGACCCTGCAGCTGCCATCAATTTTTTTCACCAATTTAAGCAGTCCAACAAAAAAGGCCAACTTTTCTTTCTTAGCTTAGCTGCTACAACCTTCAGCAGAGCTGCAAATAAAAGTCTAAACTGGAAAGAAAATTTACACCTCTCTGCTGCACCTTCTCCTTGACTTTTATATTTCATTTTACAGGGTAGGAATAAATGCCTGCCTTTTCAAAAGCAGTTATCACCCCGATTCAGCAAGAGAGAACCTATTAAGGTTTGTTTCATATATCATCTAAATGTAAATATCTTTAAAAGCTCACCCACTCCCAGTCATACTTTCTCAAAGCAGTACCATACTACCAGTGCTGTGACCCAGCTGTGGAAGAGGTGCTGCTCAAGATACTGCCCAACTACACGGTTTGAAAGACAGTATTTTTAGCAGACTCTCCTTTACAATTTACAGTCAGACATCTCAAAAAGACTGGCAAGAGTTTCTTGCTGCAGGCCAACTAAAGCAACCTACCATGTTTTGTCATAAAAGTCAAACTAATAATTGAGGAAGCCCATAAACATCCTTGCTGGCATGCTTCAGCAAGGCATAGAGCATCTTGCTTTAAAGTTTATAAAGTTTATCCTTCTTTATATTTTTAATTACTTAAAAGTAAGATTTAAGAGCAGAGAAGGCCACCTCCTCTGCCCTTCTCTGACCGCAGACTGAAACCCGCTTGATCTTGCAATGTTAGAAAAAGTTGTGTTCTCCTTGGCATAGATATAGATATACACTGCTTTAGACAAAAGTGGAGTCCAACGGAGAAGACTAATGACTTATTTGTCTTCCAAATTGAATCGTGTTTAACCTCACTTGGGAGTTATCAGCAAACCTGATTTCCCAAAGATTCATGCAAAGGGCTGCCTTTCATTCAACCAGTGATACCATCTCCTTGCAGGATCTCATAGACGTGCTAGGAATTGAAATGGAAGCACAGTAGATTGCAGTAATGGCTGAAAATAGTTTGGATCAGATCATCTTTGAGATGAATAATAAAAACAGATTTTGCTGAGCATCTTTTTATTAAGACTAGCATGAGGTTTCAAAAAAAATTAAGCAACCCTTCTATAAAGGCAAATACTGCTGGGAATCGTGTCAATAGGGGTAATAGAGATTGGTAAAGAGCTTGGAATAACAATACAGCCTAAGACAGTCCTTGACAAAGACCAATTGCCACACACATCTCCCCCATCAACCATCCACCAAATGAACAATAGCTGATTCTATTTTAGACTTGATATACGCTGAAGATTATGTGTTTCAGAAAAGTTTTTCATATGAAATAGCCTTGAATAGAGCAATCATGACATGATTTGGCTAAAAACTAAATGGCACAAAATAGCATCTGGATTTTAAAAGGACAAATATGTAGGGCATTGGCTGCTAGAGTTAGCTGGAACAAGAGGAGCAGAAACTTTAGCATGGACAAGGCCTACAATTTCTTTCAGAAAGCAATGCCAAAATTTTAAAAATAAGCTCTCCAAAGAATAATCATTCCAAGAAAAAAAGCAGAAATCCTCCAGACTCATTAGCAGACATGTTAGAAGTAAGCAGAGGAGGAATGGAAAAAAAAATACTACAGTGAAATTGCAATTCGTAACTGCTTCAAAATATCATGTCAGTCACATTAAAAACAAACATCATAAAAATGTCTTTCTGCCACATGAAGGAAAACAACTTACTTCATAGAGTCTGGGTTACAAACCAAGGCTAATCTAGAATTACACATGGCAAATTAAGCAACAGATTTGCAAGTAGCAAAGACTACATGATCATAGAGGTGAACATTAAAGATTTTTCCCTGTCAAATCCAATTTCATCAGCTGTAAAAAATATAAAGGAAAACCATCAATTAATCATAACATAAAACTAAATCACAGTGAGGTGCAGAAGAGATCTTCTTAGCGAAACTTATGGCAGTGCCTATGTACAAGATAACAAAGTATCTAAGAGTGCTACACAATGCTGTGCTGGTACCTAAGAAATGCCCTTGCGCCGTGGAAGCAGCCTTTTGCTCCAGTGTTGCACTCAGCTCACTCTCTCCTTGCACTGTGCTAAGCACCACTGGTGAGGCACTGGCACAGGTTGCCCAGAGAAGCTGTGGGTGTCCCAACCAGCTCAGAACCAGGCTGCATGGGGCTCTGAGCAACCTGGTCTCATGGAAGGTCCCAGCCCATGGCAGAGGGGTTGGACTAGATCATCTTTAAAAGTTTCCCTCCAACTCAAATTCTTCCATGCTTCTCATGGAACTAAACACAAAGATCTAGACAATACGAGGTGGGTTTAAAAAAAAAAACAAAACAACCCAACACATTTATATTCATTGCATCTCAAAATATAACCAAAAAATAACCATCATTGCATCAGGACCTTCATTTATATATGTGCACATGCACACAAAGCATCAGTGTACATAGACACAGCTTAGTCTCTGCAACAATAAGAACATACTACTCCCAAAAAGATAGGTCAATAAAGTAATTCAATGAAATACCACTGAAATAATACATTTCTGTCAATCACACTTAGAAAGATTCTTTATTAAAACAGAGTTTGCTAGAAAGTTCGAGAAGACTTCCAAAGAAAATACATGGACAGAAATATTAAAAAAAAAAAAAAAATCACAAACAAACCAGAAAATATAGCCTACCAAATATGTTGGTGGAATGTCCTTTCCGGGCAATTGGTTTGAGCTCATTATGTCCCCATCCATATTGCCTGTAATTGTCCCAGGCATGCTTCATCATCTAAGAAACAGGAAAAAAATAGGATTTGATTACATTGTAAAACTACTCTCTATGAATACAACATTTTACTCCTTCTTTGAGATTTCATCTTTCACAAGCATCCCAGCACAGTGACTAATTATTTTGTCACTGCTTCTGTTACAGAAATCAGATTTTACAGCATGAATAAATTTGGAAAAAATTTCAGGCCTATTTGACTTGAGCTACAGATCCTAATGCTCTGCATTAGGTTGTTTTCTTGTTCTTTCTTTTCCTTCAACATATGCACAGACATTTAAGAATGTAAGCATAAGGAATGCATTTAAGTGTAAGGAATTGCTGTAAAACCCTGGCAAATGTCTTAAGATACTAACTAAAAGAAAAATATATCTACTGATACCTGAAGCATAAAAAGGATTCATTTACACTGGTACATCCAAATAGGAATCAACAATTTTACAAAAGGCATAACAGATTTCTCATTAGCAACACCTACTTGACAAAGATGTACCGTCATATAGCCTCTACCAAAAGAAATGCCAAAAGCTTTGCTTTTTAGAAAGCATAATGAACAAAGCAGTGTAATGTTATTAACATTTACTACACAAAACATTTAGCTTTTTAATAGATATTTCCACCACCTAGTAAGAAAATTGCATCTAAAAACCCAAAAGGTCTTGCTGACTAGTTGTGCACATGAGCCACTAAGCAATGTTTTTATGAATTTGCTAAAACTCTTTAAACTCCTTACTTGTTGGAAATTCAGCAGCCACCAAATTGCAAAGTGAATGCAGTTTTAAATAAATAAATATTATTAGTACACAAACAGGTAAAAGAAAGTAATAGGAAGAAATTAGATATTAAAAGACATTGACTGCCCCAGACACAAGAACAGTAACAAGAAACCTTTAGAACAGCCATGTGTCTGTAACCACAACATTTTACATATTTTATTTTAGATTTCATTTTAAAAATAGTATTAAAATAGTGTTAATATAAACAAAAGCCCCAAGAAAATGTATAGGACTTAAAATCATGATTTTCACAAGTCTGATAAATGCTTTCTAAGAGGAGTAACTATGTAAATGTAACTAACAGAACAATACTAACCCTTTAAGAAACTGAGGCAAGGCAATCTGTTTTCACTACAATTTACATGACTGTAATTTTCTTATTTTAATCAGACAGCCACCATACTCACAGAAAATGTGAAGGAACAAGCAGATGCTAGCTAAAAAATTAGGTGCAGCCAGCTGCCTTACCAGCACTACCTCACATCTCTCCTCTTACTACCTCTCAGATTCCTCCTCCCACCATATTCAAGATTTAGTGGAAGTCAGCATCTTTCAAACTGCATCTAAACTGCCTGCTGAGACATGGAAAACAAAGTTTCTGTTCCCCCTACAACCATCAAGAGACCCCTATCCAAACTACAAAGCCATAATTCCTTTAAATGTAAGCTGCCTCCAAATTTCCCATGGCCCTGTTAAGTCATGCCTAGACAATAAATTTGAACCCTCCACAGGCCCATGGAGCTGGGGAGCACTTCTGTGTTAAACTGGCATCAACCTAAGCACAGTTGCCCATCTCAAGATGCCAAAGTCCCACTCCTTTTGTCATTCAAAGTCAACTCACATGTTGCTTTCAGTATTTGCACTGATTTTGACACCTGATTAGGCCATAATACTCTAGAACTTCTTTTAGTGCCATGAACTAGCAGTGTAAGAAAAAGAGGATGCAAATATATTAAAAGAGGAGAGAAAAGCCATTTCCCTAGCAGTCACAAACTCCTTAGTGTTTAGACAGCACTTAGCAAATTGACCAATTCATGGCTATTGAACATCAAGATGAATCAGGTAAAGGGACCCTCTCTTGACAGGTAAGAAAAGTGCAGTGTGACAAATCCAATAAAAGCCTGGGACAGGCAGTAAGCACAGAAGTTCCTCAGAGAGCTCTCACTGATGTTATCCAGAACAAACCTACAATTTTCCATATAAAATTGTTCATTAATTTAGTATCATAAAATCGAGACTCACAGCACCATTCATATGGGAAGGAACCTCAGGATGCCTCTCCTGCTCAACCTCCTGCTCAAAGCACGATCACTTATGGGATCACTCTGGGCTACTTTAGGCTTTATCTAGTCAGGGTAGACTTAAGGACTGGGGACAGTCAAGGCTTCTGTGAAGGGTCCTGCTGTAACCTGCAGCCTGCCAGTCCTAAAAACTCTACTTGGGAAAACAGACTTAAAGGTTCAGAAAGAACTAGAGGATAAAACAAAAGGCTGACCAGTGCACTCTTTGTGTTTGAAAGCAGAGAGATAACTAAACAACATGTGACCATGACGTGGCAGATCCAACCAACTGGCTTGCACATAAGGGAAACTGGGTTTCTGAGATCTTTGGATGTCCCAAATAAATATTTCATGAAGAAGAATCAAATAGGCATTAACATTCTGATAGCAAATACCAGAACAGACCAAAACTAGCTAAGTCCAGGAGAAGAACAACTTGTTTCCTCACAGCAGAAGCTTAATTATGGAATATTTCACTGTCCTAATTCGCTGTACTTCTGGGGGGGAAGGTACATAATTTATTACAGAATATTTCATTCTGAAGAAACCCAAAAAAAGTATGCAAATTACAAAGGGCTAAAACAGAATACATACAACACAAGATGTTTCTCTATATATAATATATCCTAAGAAAATTTTATTAAGATAGAAACTGAAAAGGAGTACATTTCAATGGGTGCATGAATTAATGCAGAAGTAACTTAAGAATACACTAGTGAGACCTGAAAGTCTCTTCAACACAAGAGACTAAGACACAGTTGACTGCATCAACTAAGACTGAGATAAGAAATCGTATTTTGAGGAGACTAAGCTACTTTGGTAAGCACAAACACACCTGTCCTGCCTCTCTGCCTGCCCCAAAAACTAAGAATATGTGTTTTAAGTCCTCAAGAATCATTCATGACACTAAGCAGCCAACTGATTGTTTCCAGATGAACACTGACCGTTACTTGGGCACTCAACTCGCTGCTTTCCTCCACCACAAAGCAAGCAGACTGCATGATATCATGTTAGCAGAGAGCTGCACATCACACGCAAGTGAGAAGCCCCAGAGCTCTTGCATACAGTATTAAGTTTTGTAAGGAGGAGATGCCAAGAGATCTTGTAACAACATGGAGGTTTCTGTTACTGTCAGAACAGGTAGCCTGTTATACTACAGACAGAACATCTATACCATTGGGAACAGTTGTGGACACGAAAGCTTTGGAGAAACACAAGAAGACAGACGCCTCTGACAGCTACAAAATTTAACTGAGGATGGCATTTTGGCTCAGAAAGTACAAACAACATGAACTCTTGATCGGAAAAACAAAATTATTTCTATAGGTAAGCTAGGTAGCGTTTGCATAGTGCAAATTGGAAATGCTGAAGAATAGCTGCAGGGATAGGCAGCTTTTCCTAAAACAAAGCTCTGTCTTTAAGAGGAGAGGAAAGTCTCAGAACTGATTGGAACATCGGCACTACAGATAATAGCAAGAAGGTAAAACTATTTAAAAAACAAATGTACCCAGTCCTTAAAGAACTCAAGAGAGGTACCTCAAGCTCAGTAGAATGAAAATTACAAGCATGGATCAGTAAGTGTGAAAACCACAAGACACACATTTCCATAGCTGAAATTTCCATATCTGATAGCAGTTTGTCACAGGAAAGGACTGGAACTTGGGCATGTCATATACACATCTTGCAATCTGGCCACCAGAGAACAAGCAGTTTTGACTTTTAACTGACACCATTAATGACAGATCTTGCTTTTGAAAGCAAAATCATTCATGGGCTATTGATCTGCTGCATCCTAATCTTGAAAATGTTTCTTATGGGATGTAATGGAAATAACAACTAGCAAGATGCTGCTGTAAATACAACTTGGTAATTCTACAAAAAAGACTAATCTGGACTCTGCTGCAAGACAGACAGAAAAGGAAGAAGCAGGACGTGCCAAATGAAACTGCTTTTCTAGGTACACCATTATATAATTGGTTTTGCTGACTTTAGAACATGTTCATGGGATCTAATCTCCTACAGTCACTGGGAAATCAGATTTTTATAAAGAAGTTTTATAAAGACAGAGTGGCAATGATGTCTTTTGACAAACAATAAAAGAAGGCTACAATTATTGAAAAGTGAGTTGTAAGGCAGTTCTACCACTACACCAGCATGTCACAAACAGTAATTCAAGGTAAGGATTTGTTCAAAAACCGCTTTCCAGTCTTAAAAACAGGACAGGCAACCGGCAGACAAAGTAGGAGTCCTGAGAAACAAGCAAAAGAACCAATTTTCTGGCAAATTGCTGTATTTACTGGTTCCTGCCATTCCATCAGGAACATGCATAACAGACAGCAAATAGGTTTTGCTTTCAAAGCAATGTATTCTGATTAAGGATACAATTTTGAGAGATTTATATAAACCATCTTCAAACTCTATTTTAAAATTAACCAAGGACTTGCTGACAAAATTACTGCTCAATTGGCAGATTAAAAATTAATAATCATTTTCCTACTGTTGGACGTTAATTTAAAAAATTATCATTTCCTTGTATACTCAGATTGTTGATGAAACTTAGAAAACTCATACATTTATTTTCTGGGAACGCTATCTCAAAAGAAATTATTTTAGGCATCAGTTCATGCCTCTGTCATGCATTTTTAAACATGTCACTGAAAAAGTCTGTTTGGAATATGTTCCTAACACACACAGAACACTAGGTTTTCTTTTACTGTCAAATCTGGTAACAAATCCATTAATAAAACAAAAACACTTATCAGATGGAGGCAAAGTGGGAAACTCTTTTTGCTGGCATTAAATACTTGAAGCTTTAGATGCCTGATGAAATTACATAGGAAAATCCTTCAGACTGGTGAGAACTGGAACAGTAGATGTAAAGAGCCTAAATCTGGAGAGCTTGCAGCAGTGAACCTTGCTCAAAAATGTTAAGAAAGCCAAATATTTT